TCGATTTCTCGAAAGTCTTTGCGATCGCATTATCCAATAGGCCATTTTCTGTATTGTAACGAAAGTTAGTCATATAAATTGTGAAGCGCCTCGAATTCAATTATTTCATTCACATGTTACAAATAAATGTATCTCTATAGTCAGAATTCAAATTGCATACATTAGCTGTTGCTAGGTGAGACAAACATTATGGCTTGTCTAACCCAACAACACGTAATATATTCAATTTGCATTCTGACGACTGAAATACAATTATTCCTAAAAGGTGAATGAATATTTCGTATCGAGGAATTTAACTATAAATTTGCTTACATTGAGAAAATGTCCTATCATTTCGAAGTAAATCTACCATCTTTCCATTCGATGCTTTTTTCGACACCAGTAACCCTTATTTCCTATATTTTTTCACCCTTTTTTTTTCTTCAGAGTTGTGTCTCGAGCAGGGAGATATTCCCGTCCCATGTAACAGCACCGGTCGAGCCAAACGAAACGCTCTCCGTGATCGCGGTATGAGATGGGTCAACGGTGTGGTTCCATACGTCATCGACAACCGATACGGTAAGGAAATCATTGACATAGCCTTAAATGGTATCATGCAATAGGGCGTTTTCGACATGTAACTGCAAGCATTTTTTTTTTAGGAGGGGGTTTCAAGAGGCCCCGGTTAAGATGCACTGATATATATAATTATTGAAAGTAACCTACATACTATGTCATTGCTTTGTAATGTAATTTTACTTTGATATCTAGTTGACACAATGACATAATGCTTTGGTGGAAGTGAGATCCGATGATACGGAATTCCGATACTCCTGCGTGATAAAACATTGAGGTCAAAATGTTGTACACAGGGTTGGTGAAACAGTATAGGCTATTGTGGAATTCCCAGTTCTTAATGTTCATGGTCACCATGTTCAATTCTTTTATAACTATTAGGTTAGCCTCATAATGTTATGACTAATACAAAGAGTTACAGTTCACGTTTCATCATTTGCATTTCATACGCAAACATCTTCAATGCTCTTCTAGTTTTCATACAAAACCATTGGATGGAGAACAAAGTGAATGATGAGCACGACACAACACCATTATAACGTGGCCGTGTTAAATTCCCCTCGATATCTCGCCATAATATAAACTGTAGCGGTCCACAAAACACAAAACTGTTAACATCACATTACATTACAAGCATACAGTGTATACATTTGTATTTTTATCATACACTACAAGCATATATTTGTATTTGTATCAATTTACTTATCTTTTTCATATTTTTTCGATGGAGCAGATTACGGTACTCGCGCTCGCATCACGAGGGCTATGGAACGTTACCATGAAACCACTTGCATCCGATTCGTAGAGAGAACAAGAGAAACAGACTACATCTATATCTTCCCCGGTAACGGGTAAGTGGAGCGATTATATACAAAATTGTTCTAGATTTTAAAATTGAATTCTTGTTTCGGAATGTTAACAATGAATTATTGGTATTATGTATTTTTGCATGGTACAAGAACGGAAACCATCCATCTTCCTCATTCCCTGTAAAACTGTTCTAAAAGAGTATTCACACCACATCCCTGTTGAACACGCCCACATATTCAGCATAGACCGCATGCCTTTGCACACACACAAAAAGTTTTATATTGCATAGGTCTTACTTTGAAATTACCTTTTTGGTTATTACACATTACGATGAACACATGCAGGGATGGTGAAACATTTTACAATGTAACAATAATATTACAACTATTTACTGGAAAAACATCTTACGAGTCTTCTAACATAATTGCCTTGAATCTTTGTTGCTCAGGTGTTATTCTCTGGTCGGCCGTGTCGGAGGTCAGCAGCAGGTTTCTCTGGGAAATGGCTGCACTACGAACTTGGGTACGATCATTCACGAACTCATGCACGCCGTCGGATTCCACCACGAACAGACGCGAACAGACCGCGATACATACGTCTACATCTACTTTAACAATATCATTCAAGGTAAAAAGAGGGATCTCTGTAAGTGGGTTCAGGATGGGGTTATCTTGACTGTGGTGCACGTATGGTGGTGGGTCCAAGATTTTGGAATGAAGGGGTTGCGTACTCCCAGTCCCCCCCCCCCCCCCCAAAAAAAAAATAAAAAATAAATAAATAAATAAATAAATAAATAAATAAATTAAATAAAATTAAAAAAAAAAAAAAAATGAATAAATAAAAATAAATAAATAAATACATTTTTAAAAAAAATAAAAATAAAAAAAAATAAAAATAAAAAAAAAGTCGCATGTTGTGGGTTGGGAATGATTGGGAGCGTGCATTGTTGGACAATATTTTAAAAAATGATCGAATTCAAGTAAACGTAATTCAAGTAAATGTAGTCTAAATTGCCTCGATGTCTAATGGAGTGCTGATTATAGTCCTCGACTCCGAAACAGTAATCCAAAATACTCGAAATGTCACATTCAGAAAAGGTGTTATCTACAAAATAATGTACACACATCAATGTATTCGTCAGAAAGAGACATGGTTAGAATCAATAAATCAAGTCAATTAAGATGCATTAGTGCAAAATTATATCATTTTGCATGGAAAGCAGTCGTGGCTGGATTATTTATGTTGGTACGGTAAATAACATTGAACTATTTTAAAGACATGATGGCGCGACAACGTGATTATTAATGTGATTCGGACTTGGCAGATAGTAGGTCTATATACAAGAAGTTTTCAACTTGAAATAAGTCCATGTAATCAATTTTAAATGATTATGAATGATCATCGAATCGAAATCAACTCAAATATTCACCTTCTCCCATGTCACAGGTCTTGAATACAACTTCGACAAGTATGAACAAACCTACATCGACCACCTCGGTACCCCATACGATTTGTTCTCCGTCATGCACTACCACATGACCGCGTTTACATCGAACGGACAGCCGACCATCGTCGCTCGCGACCAGAGATTCCAGCTCGACTACCGTTCCGATTTCAGTGACAACGACATCAACAAACTCAACATTTTACTATGAATGTGGTAAGTTTGATAAGTGCGGTGCCAAGTATCAACTTTAAAACACAAAGTCGTTTCAAAAAGATGTTTTATAGTTGTACAAATCCGTCTTCAATCCCAATGATAATACCAAAAGAAAGGAAAGATACAAAAGAGTATGTCACCTTTGTCCTTTCTCTCTCTCTCTCTCTCTCTCTCTCTCTCTCTCTTTCTCTCTCTCTCTCTCTCTCTCTCACACACACACACAATCTCTCTCTCTCCATCCCTCTCTCTCTCTCTCTCTCTATCCATCTCTCTCTCTCTCTCTCTCTCTCTCTCTCTCTCTCTCTCCCTCTGCATGTCTGCGACCTCCTTTCGTCCTCTCTCTCGTTCTAACCCATTCTCCTTCGCCTTTATTTGAATATGGCATACAATGTTAACCTGAGTCAATCATTGACTTGTCAATAGAATATTCTGATTTCAACTACCGGGAACAATTCATTATAAAACTGGAAGAAGAACAATTTGCATGCATCAATAGTATTCTTTGCAGTATGTGAATTATATCAAGTGCGTTTGTATTAAAAGTGTAAAAATGAATCGGATAAATAACTGTGTGTTCATTTTCTATTTCCCTTTATCCTCTGCAGACGGCAACACTGTCGATCCCACGTGTAAGTATTTTTTTTCTTTTTTTTCTTCTTTCTTTCTATTCCCCCTATTTATGAAGCTACTCTCCCTGCTCCATAATGTTAATAACCGTCGAATGTAAATCATTTGAAAAACATTTTCCACAAAAATGTTAAATCCACAACATTTAGTATCTTTCTGTAGAGATAACATTTTGCTTTAGGTTTTGATCAGAGGAAATCAAGAGACAGTAATAACAACAAAAATAACAATGATGATGATGACAATGATCATAGCAATAATTCATTAAAGGGGAAATTCACCCTAATATTAAGTTGGTATTAATAAAAGCAAAAAATCCGATTAAAAATAAGAAAGTTATGAATTTTTGAAGTTGCGATATATCAAACACAAAACACTATGTGACGTATCTTGCGAGCTCCCCTCCCATTTGCTCAATTTATGCTTGTTTGCTCTTACTCCTATAGTACCGGAGGAAGTTGATTGTGTTGATAGTAATCAAAACTGTCCTGGTTGGGCTGATGCTGGATACTGTGCTACTAACTCCTGGATGATTGCCAATTGTAAGCTCAGCTGCGCAGTCTGTGTCATTACTCCTACTCCTACTCCAGGTCAGTCAATGATATATTGTTTAATTATTATTATGTTTGTAGTATTATCATGATAAGTAATTTCATTATTATCCAAATGTCATTGTTATCATTTCCATTCATGTTTTTCGATATCAACGATCCAGTGATGAAATTTATTCAATAATGGGATTATAATTACTGTAATCACGAATATTATCATTATTATTGTTACTATTGTTGCCGTAAGTTGAATAATAACTACAACTTGTTTTTATTGTAAAACAGACGATTACTTCAAAAGCGTAATTGAAGAGAACCAATCATTTAAAACATTGTAAATAGATAAAACATTATTAAAACTGAATGTACTTAACATTTGATATCAAGAGTACATGTATTAGAAGTTATAGTATTTCTGGAAGGGAGGGGGGGGGGGGGTCATCAAAAAATGAAAAAACGTAAAAATTAACTCTCCCTTCATTTTTGTAAATATTATTTTGACAGGAACCGGAGGCAATGATGGTGAGTTGATCCTTCTTCTTGATATTGTTATAATGATGATAACATAACGAAACTTGTATTTAGCCACAACTAAGTGTAGGGTAAAAAATGCTGATAACGCTGATATGCTGATATCATGAGCGACAGCACAGGCACTACGAAATACATATATATATATATATATATATATATATATATATATATATATATATATATATATATATATATATCAAATTAATTTATTATAAAAAAAATTGCTTCAACGGTATCATTGGAGGTGACCTATCACTCCAAAAATAGACATTTGTAAATCTTTAGAGAACCTGAGGCATGAATCTATAATTTTCATTTGTATCAAAATTAATTTTTCTTTTTAAATTAAAATCAATGTTATCTTGCACCATGATGACTATGTTGTTGTTTAATAATGTTGATATTATGTAAGTGAAGTACAAAGCAAAACACAGCGATTTTCATTATAACTATCAGACATTTGTCAATAAGAACTAATTCAGACAAAATCAGATTTGTGTTATCAGTGGCTTTGAGTATCTATCTTCTTTCAACTCTCTTTCTCATGATTGTGCAGACTGCAAGGACATGAACGATAACTGTGCTGGTTGGGCTAATGCGGGCGAGTGTCAAGCCAACCCATCCTGGATGTTGCCCAACTGTCCCGTCAGTTGCGATCAGTGTGAAACCGTCAATCCCGGTGGTGAGCAAAAACAAAAAGCTGGTTACTTATGAACGCAAGGCCGTGAATAGATGATTATTGTTGCTTTTGATATTGTTTGTAAGGAATCAAAATGATGGGTCGCAGTGTTAGTTAAGGATACTGTTTTGGTAACAATTCTATATCAAGCTTCATTTAAAAGGGTTAAATTTCATTCATATCTTGCTGGTCAGGATTCAATTTTCATAATGATGATAAAATTTCACGATGATGACTTGATTACAACAAGATTTCACGATGATGACTAAATTACGACAAGATTTCACGATGATGAATTAATTACGACAAAATTTCACGATGATGACTAAATTACGACTAGATTTCACAAGGATGACTGTAGTTTGACAATAAGTAATTCATGATGATAGGTAACTTTGATGATGATGTAGTCACATCAACATATCAAGCTCATTAATTTTGTGACACTTTATTGTCAATGTTGGTGTGATCTGTAGTAGGTAACTATAATTGGCATTGGCTACATCTTATATAGTTAATATATATTTTATACTATGATATTGGTTAGAAGCATGTTGGTGGCAGTAGTGATATAAGAGTTGACCAAAATATGTTCTCTTTTTTTGTATTAAACAGAAAACTGCATAGACATGAATGAGAATTGTGCAATTTGGGCCAAGTATCGACAGTGCACCGAAAACCCTGGCTACATGCTTGAATTCTGCCCCCGTTCCTGTGGGCAATGCGTTGGTAGCGGTATCATGCAAAGTAAGTCCTTTTTGTATTATAGACTTCGCGTCGGAAATAGATATTTCTTTCTGATAAAAGAAAATTAATATTTAACTTTCATTTTATTTATTTTTCTTAATTTATCATGTACGCATCCTCCGGCCCAATCCGCCATCTGATTTTTCGAGGTTTTTTTTTGGTATAATACTTTAGGTTACCCACTGAGAACCAAAAGGTCGTTGATATATTTCAGATACACCCTCCAATCGTGGAGATATTGTGTGCTGCAAACTTCTTTTGAAATGTTGCATTGTCGATTTGAAATCAATTGAGGGTGCTGTAGAAGATCATTTTAAACGTACAGTACTCTTTTGACCTTGTTTCTACATTTTCTGTTTAACGATTTGTTTAATATAAATAATAATGTTCAATCGAACATGACAGATGGGAACTCCATGTATAGTTTACCACCCCCCCCCCCCCTCCCCATTCACTCCCTCCTTGTCCTGTCCCCTGTTTAACAAGTTCTGGATAAGCTTCCGATTAATTCCTGTATAGTCTCTGTTAAAATGATTTCAATACTCAATTGGCCTTGTGCAGACGATAATCATGTTCAATCAATATCTGATTTATATATATCAATATTTGTTCATTCATTTTATTTTCCTTTTCAGCTTGTGAGGATTTCAATGACCAATGTGCAGACTGGGCAAGTACGGAGCAGTGTCAGCTGAATCCCGGCTACATGAACTACGAGTGTAGGAAGAGCTGTTCCCTTTGTGCTGCCAGCTCGCCTTTGGAACTGCTACCTCAAAGTAAGATCACTAGCAATATATTTGACATGCAATTAATCTAATTACCGTTTGAAGAATATGTTTCAGCAAAGTAGCGGTAGTTCATGTCTTACAGTCATTAGATTAACACCCAATGATGAAATAATAGCATGCGGGAATAAAATCATGATGTAAGGGTAATTTTTTCATTTTGCCATGATAAGTTCAAGCTTTGGTATGTCTTTGTGTCTCATTGTCTCAGATAAGTATTGTAACTGATAATATGTTGAAGTGAAGATGGCTTGTCCTGAATTTAATTCATGCCCACATAATACAATTTTTATTTAATGCCCCCTCCCCTAAAATTGGAAATGAACTTAGACTAAAAATTCTGCCATGGAATGTGTGCGTTCGGCCCCTATTTTGATTATTGCACGACTCTTCAACGACATGGACTGCCCTCCCTCCCCCCCCCCCCCCGATGATTTTATTTGAGCAACACTTTGGGGTTTATTCAGATGCTTCATGATATAATAGACCTATACGTAGTCAATCAAATTAATTTTAATGATTTTGATTTATACTGTTACCCCCCCATGTAATATATTTTTTTGGAAAAATAATCTCTAAGCTCCTCAAATTAATTAACATTATTTCATCCTTTATTTGATATTTTTTCTGCAGCTCAATGCCAAGACACGAGCGGTTACTGTCCTGTGTATGCTGAGGATGGGATGTGCGTGTCGAAGCCCGAGTACATGGGCCTCGTTTGCCCCGACACCTGTCAAATGTGCCCCGGCAAGATCTACGCCGAAAGTGGGTCTAGTGGGTCTAGTGAGCTCCGATCCTTCTACGGCTTCCTTGGCGCCCTTTTCATCTCATTTCTAGCGCGCAGATTAGCTCTGTAAACAAAAGCCTCTTCCAAAACCAAAACATTATGTACAGAAATTAAAATAATGGCATCGACGTTAGTCTCGTTTTTTAAATCTGTGTTAAACTCTGTTTACAAGCTGTCAATTTTTTTGTAAAAAACAAATCAGTTTGTTTTATTGAAGTGATAATTTTCTGTCATAATCATTGTATCATATTTTTATTTATCTATTTATTTAAATTGTGTTCTTACAATATTTGTATCTGTATTTTTTCTTGTAATTAAGAGAACTTTTTCTTATATATATTAGGTAAACGAATTTCTTGGCAAATAAGCTATTACAGTGTGATTTATTAATGATTGGCGTGTTGACCTACGATTTGCACATAATTAGGGTTTTGAAGATTTACAATTACAGTACAGATTATATATTTATAAAAGTACTTTAACTATAAACACAAAAAGATAAAGAGGCTGAAATTATGAACTGTAATATGACTATGATGTACTTGTACAATGTATAATCATGTACAAATACGTTGTGAGAAACAAAATCAGTGCTTGTGTGTGACTTTTTATTTAATTGAAAATATGAACACCTAGAAGTTGCAACTGTTGATATTTCTATATTAGTGAACACGAATATATTAAGAAACTGATATTGTGCTGGGCACAAACATGATGTAATTTATATTTGTTATTCGTTATTATATTTTGGAATAAAAAATATATTGCCTAATGAAATTATCTCATTCTCGCTCCTTGTCCGATGTAATGTAATAATCAACATCACTGTGCAATGAGCGTGTAAGCTGTGGTGTCGATTTGGATGAAAGGTGTAATGTATAATCTACATCACTGTGCAATGAGCGTGTAAGCTGTGGTGTCGATTTGGATGAAAGGTGTAATGTAATAATCTACAAAACTCACTGTGCAATGAGCGTGTAAGCTGTGGTGTCGATTTGGATGAAGGGTGTAATGTAATAATCTACATCACTGTGCAATGAGCGTGTAAGCTGTGGTGTCGATTTGGGTGAAAGGTGTAATGTAATAATCTACATCACTGTGCAATGAGCGTGTAAGCTGTGGTGTCGATTTGGATGAAAGGTGTAATGTTATAGTAACAATGACTGCTTTGAGAGACATAGTTGTTTTATACGCTTTTACCCTTTTTTCTGGCATGTTAATCCAGACACATAAGTCCACAAGTGCAAAATATTAGCATCACATAAATAATAGGTAAAGCAATCTACTTCCTGACTGCATGCCTGGTTGCTAATTCAGGGAACCAGGCACGTGAGTCAGGCAGACATCAAACAAAAGTTACAAAGTCATTTCAATAAATCTACTTCCTAACTGAAATAAACTACACTTCTTTCCTTTGACCTTTAAATCAAACTGACCTAACTTTGTTAGCATTTTGTCAAGTGTTTTGAGATGGACATCAAATAAAGGCGAAAACAAAAGTATATCGTCTAAATAAATCAACAAATATGTCAGATTCATGTCTGCTAGGCATCAATCGCTCCACTACCCCTTTAAATGTACTAGGGGCATTTACTAAACCAAATGGCAAACGGTTTGAAACAAACGGCACTCTAAATGCTGTCTTTTCCTTGGAATCACCGTCCATTTCCACCTGGTGATAACCATGCGCTAAATCAAGAGATGAAAATAATGCTGCCCTAATATGAGGGCTTCTAGTGACTTGTCGACCCGTGGTAAGGGAAAAGCATCTTTAAATTGTTTTTGCATTTAAAGATGATACGCCCCTTTTGCAGCCAGCATCGAATTTTGTAGAAATTTGCAGGAATTATGAATATGTCATATATGCCCCATCTGTGAAATGTAAACGTTAGCAGTGTCCTAGTATTCAAATTATGCAAGGAAACCCGTTTACTTTCTAGACCTCACTGTCAGACATATACCTCTCTTTAGAAATATATGACTACTTTAATATTCGGGGAATAGTTGTTTTAAAGGCTCTCGGGGACGTTGCATCTTGCTATCACCCCTTTCAGGATGTAACATCCCCTTGAGCTTATAAAACAACTATTCCTCTCATAGCAGTCATTATATCTATACTATTGGGTGACTGAATGATATCTTTTGCTTCTTTGGTAATAACATTCATAAAATGAGCTGTAAAGGGTACATCAGCATTTGTCTACGCCAATAACCCACTACTTGTAACGGCCAAAATTAAACTGATCGAAACTTTGTGCAGCACAAAACGTATGACCATTCAGTACAAGGGTCTAAAAATCAAACTATGTACTTATAGGTGATTGCAATCACATAAGTTGATTCGACAACTAATTGTCGTTATTTTCCCACAAAAAGCCATTTTCAAGCCCTGTCGTTCTGAAGGAAGTTCTAAGTTAGTTTTGTCTTTCAAATGCCGTTGGACTTTTGGGGCCTGCAAATGGGACCATTAATCAACACAATCTTTTATACGCAAGCTTCCATCCATTTTTTTTTACCAACATTACCGGGCTTGCATATTATGGGCTACTAATGGGTTTTATTATGCCTTGATCAAACAGATTTTGCTATGTTTTACCTCTTTAAAATGTGCGGGGATTCTACAATAAGACTGGTTGTTCATCTCTTGTCTCGATCTTGTTAAGATCTTGAAAACGAAGCATCATGTTTCTGGATGAGCCGTACCTCACTTTCTTTGTCTTCGTCATTCAAATAACAAGACTTCAAATTTATCCCAGGTGGAAAGGGAAACTGGCTCCCATCCCTAAATTTGAATACCTCTGAATATGAGGGGTCAAGGTTTTTCGTACTATAATTAGTAGCCACGTTTGGTGTATTGCTAGTGTCGCCATCGGGACATTCTGCTCAGGCGCGGATCCAGGATTTCTAACGGGTGGGGACCCAAATTTGAAATCATTTCGAAATTTAGTGTGCTGAAATTTGAAATCGTGCCGACCTATATTTCGCTCAGTGGGGGGGGGGGGGGGGGGGGGGGGGGGGGGGGGGGGGGGGGGTAAGCACAAATTTTTTTTTTTTGGGGGGGGGGCCCTCGAAAATTAAAAAAATCGCACTCCCGCCCCCCCCCCCCCCTTGAACGCCAGGGCGGGGCCTAGCTCAGGGGTTTTATACATCAAATTCTCGTTGGATGAGCATAATTTTATACCTTATTTGTGACACTGGCAGATCACGAAATGGCGTGGGGTCCTGGGGGCGGAGCTCCCGGAAGCTCAGGGGTTTTGGGCAATAAATAATGGTCAGATGAGCATATGTTTATACCTTATTTGTGACACTGGCAAGACACAATTTGGTGTTGGGTCCAGGGGGCGGAGCCTCCAGAAGCCCAGGGGTTTTATACATTAAATTATCGTCAGATGAGCATATTTTATACCTTATTTGTGACACTGGCAGGTCACGAATTGGCGTGGGGTCCAGGGGGTGAAGCCCCCGGAAGCTCAGGGGTTTTGGGAAATAGATTACTGTCAGATGATCATGATATTATACCTTATTTTTGACACTGGCAGGTCACAAAATGGCGTGGGGTCCAGGAGGCGGAGTCCCGGAGGCTCAAGGATTTTGGGCAATAAATAACGGTCAGATGAGCATATTTTTATACCTTATTTGTGACACTGGCAGGACACATATTGGTGTTGGGTCATGCAGGGGGTGGAGCCCAAGAAGCTTAGGGGTTTAAAACATTAAATTATCGTCAGATGAGCATCTTTGATACCTTATGTGTGACACTGACAGGAAACAAATTGGTGTTAGATCCAGGGGGCGGAGCCATTAGAAGTTGTAAGGTTTATACATCAATTTATTGTCAGATGAGCATATTTTTATACCTTAATTGTGACACTGGCAGGTCACGAATTGGCGTGGGGTCCAGGGGGTGAAGCCCCCGGAAGCTCAGGGGTTTTGGGAAATAGATTACTGTCAGATGAGCATGATATTATACCTTATTTTTGACACTGGCAGGTCACAAATTGGCGTGGGGTCCAGGAGGCGGAGACCCGGAGGCTCAAGGATTTTGGGCAATAAATAACGGTCAGATGAGCATATTTTTATACCTTATTTGTGACACTGGCAGGACACAAATGTGTTGGGTCCAGAGGAAGAAGCTCCAAGTAGCTCAAGGGTTTGGGCAATAAATTACTGTCAGATGAGCATTATTTTATACCTTATTTGTGATACTGGCAGGTCATGAATTGGAGGGGGTCCAGGGGGCGGAGCACTGGCGTACCTATGGGGGGGGGGGGGGGGGCAGAGTGCCCCCTGACGGGCTCCAGGGGAAAAAAAGAAAAAGGGGAAAGAAAAGAAAAGAAAGGAAAGGAAAGAAAAAGAAAAAAAGAAAAGGGAAGAAAAAAAGGAAGAAGAAGAGAAAAGGAAGAAAAAGGGAAAAGAAAAGGAAAGGAAAAAAATGGGGAAATTAAAAAAAAAAAAGACCATGGCCGTACGCACCAGGGGGGGGGGGGGGCATTTGACCCCAGATATTTTGAAAACGTACAGTGTTTTTTCCTGAAAATGTAGTGTAGGCCTATACCAAATCCTTCAATTCTACTTTTGAAAATGCAAAAGTACCCTCATGACCAGTTCGGTCGCTCGAACTCCCTTCACTCCTTTTGCTTTTGAGATTCCTCGAAAACTTTTAATGCATCTTTCCCCCTCCCCCACCAGAAAAATATTCCGCATACGGCGCGAACTGCTTGCTAGCCTATTTTGTATTAAATGTTTTCACTTGCTCGTCCCCCTGAAAAAAGAAAAGGATTAGCATTGCCTAGAATACAATTGTGCCTGCCCCGACGGGCCCCGACCTGCAACCATGGCAACAATAACACACAGTGTATGTAGCAAATGTTACTAAAAGAGAGTAATTCACTTTTCTCGCTCGCTACACTTGCTCGCGAATAAAATGAAAAGATATTGCTTTGGAAACAATTGTGCCCACCCTTGACCTGCAACAATATCATTAAAAATGGAAGAGTTTTTTTCGCCCTCTCGCCAAAAAGGAATTGAATCGCGTTAAACGCAATTGCGTCCATCCTGACATGCACCAATAAAAACTAGTTTATTTATTAATTTCTATTAAAAGAGAATTTTTTTTTGCTTGCTCGCTATGCTCGCTCGCCAAAATGGAATTGACACCGCTAACGTGCCCGCCCCAACCTGCAACAACCAGTTAATAATTATGTACCAAACGTTATTCAAAGAAGTTTTGGTGTGCCCGTGCTCGCCAAAACGGAATTAACATCACCTTAGACATGATTGTGTAAGCCCTGCCCTGCAACAAAAAAATCTGAAATTTATGAACCAATTATCATTACAAAATTTTTGCTCGCTCGCTACGCTCGCTCGCCAAAATAGAAATAACACCGTTTTTAATAATCACGTCCCTGACATGGAACAAAGAACCCAAGTTTATGTACCATATTTTCCCTATAAAAGAGAAGTGATTTTTTTTTGCTCGCTCGCTACGCTCGCTCGCCAAAATAGAAATAACACCGCTTTTAATAATCACGTCCCTGACATGGAACAATGAACCCAAGTTTTATGTACCATATTTTCCCTATAAAAGAGAAGTGATTTTTTTTCGCTCGCTCGCTACGCTCGCTAGCTCGTGGAATTATGTGCCCACCACTAACCTGCTACAATATCATTAAAAAGAGAAATGTAGGGGGTTGCCTGCCCGCCAAAATGGGATTGACATTGCCTTAAACACGATTGTGCCCGCCCCCGACCCGACCTGCAACAATGGAACAAATTTTA